TCATCGATGAAGACAATGACAAATTGGTCTAAGTACGGATGGAAAACTTGGTTCATCAAGTCCATAAACACCGCCGACGCATTGCTCAACCCGAACGGCATCACCACAAACTCGTAGTGTCCATACCTAGTCCGAAAGGCCGCCTTGGAAATCTCGACTCCCGAATCTTCAGCTGATTGTAACGCTCCGTTTGATTATGAATTATTAGAGATTATTATAATTATTATTATTATCATATTAATTGTTATTTTTGCCTAATTGTCCAAATTAATTGAGTTTGGAGTATTTATTATTATTCTATTATTTTGCTCGTTCAAGTCATCATATTATATTGTCCTAAAAGATGATATAATGCCCCGCTCAATTTAATTTAATTAAGTCGGTCGGAAATTCAGTTTAAATCGGACTAAGGATCGATTTATATCTTTGTGTATTGACCGAACCGTGCCAAAGTCAAACCAGGGTCAAACCGGACACTTAGAAATAATTTCCAAGTCATTTGGCCCTAAGAAGCTTGCCAGGCCCGCGCAGCCTGCGTCCAGGCCGCGCACAGGCATGATGCGGACACGGCGAGAAGGCTCAAGAACACGGCGAGTCGCGCGTGGCATGCGCGAAGGAGGCTAAGTCGTCGTGCCGGAGAGGCGCGATACGCGGACGGGCGAGCGCGCGCGGGAGGGATGCACGCGCGAACTTGCCTAGGCGCACGAGGATTAGGCGAGCTGTTGGACGCGTGCGCGGGAATGGAAGATGAAGCCCTAGTGCTTGGGCGATTAGGAAACACGGACTTGGAGTGCAAGCCAAGGCATTAGATTCCCTAGTTATTTAGTTTCCTTATTGCTTTATGATATCTAGATTATTTAGGACATTTAATATTTTATTACTTTATTAGAGTTATAGTTATATTAGGATTAGATCGAGTTGATGCCTATATAAAGGCCCTTCTTCTTGTTAATTTGATTATTCAGAAATCAATACAAAAATCCGAACATTTGTTCAAACTCTTTGCTCTAGTTTTCTTCCTGATTTCTATTGCAATTATAATCGTTAGAAAGGCTGCGAGTGTGCGACTTCCTAACACCTATCAAGCGATTTAAGGTGCGGGAGCGTCTTGTCGACACTTGAGACACACGGTCTTCATCATTAGTGCTTTCATTGAGAGGGTCGATCGTGTGTCTTTCTGTAACGCCCCACTTTTATTTGCCGAAAATCAAAATAAATTTTTCAAATTTATTTCAAAACACTTGAGGCGCTACTCATTTTCAAAACA